GTACAATAAGAAAACTGAACTATGAAGTATAGGAACAAACTTTACTTCTCTCAGTCTTTGCTATCGATGATCAGAAACTGTGTTGCACCCAGCTGGCATCACACCTTCCAACTTTTCTGATATTAGACTGAGTGAAATTTCAACTTAATTTTAACCTGTAAACAATACAAATTTTAATGGACTGGTCATTGTAAAAAACAATGTGAATCTTTATGTATTTCAGGTCCACAGACTGGAAATGTTGTAATTTGCCCAATACAAGTAACTGAAAAAAAGACACTCTTCATCACTTGGTTGCTCAAAGAAATTCTACAAGAGTTTCAAAGTGCAGAAATTGTTTTCAATCCAAATGCAAATCAAATTGTTCAGATTCTCATGATCTTATTATTTGATGCGTAACTGCAGTTTCCCAAGACCAGTTTTCAGCGTCAGCTTGCGATAAGGCTGTTTTAAACCTTCCTTTTCCAACTCCAAACGCTCTTTATAAGTTAAAGTCAATACAAATATAAAAAGGAGATGGTACTCTAATGACATCCACAAATTGTACATTATTTACAAAAGAAGCATAGATTTAATAGGGATCTTACCTGTCCTCAGCTTTTCTAAGCCAGCGCTAATGCTTTACATTAATGTAGTGTAGTTACTGCTTTGTACACATATACAAAGCTAAAGTCTGAACCTTTGAGGTTAATCCAAAGAACTGTGTTTATTTTTCACATTTCTATTAGATCTATTTATTCCAACAATTGTATGGACTTGTTGTTAGCAGTTAAGACTCTTCGTACTTGGACTGGCATTGTGGTCTGAACATACTGAACTCCACTTCGCATTGCCACTGTCCCAGCAGAAGGACTTACCACTACAGGAATGGTCTGTGGATTAAAACCAAGAGAAACATACTGTTATGTTATAGGTCACATAAACATGACCACAGAGAGATTTCTTTTCCAGGGGAAATCCAGAACAAGCTCCAACTGTGTGCATGAATTAATACCTTTATTACCGCAGCATTACCTCATTCCAGGGTAGAAAGTAGTGTGTTACTTTGCTGTAGCCAGGAGGTTTTCTGCATTAGGATTACTACTACATAACTACAGGGACAGGTGGTCCTACAGGTACTGTGCACACTCTGTCTGTGCTTGGAGAGTTCGGTTTTCATAGTTACATCCAGTTCTGTGTTTTCCCAAAACTAACACATGGGAAGAGGAAAAAGGGCTAAGAAAATCCTTTGTCATTTGAAAAAGTTCTGACAAATCAAACTGGAGTACAAAAATACCCTCGTTTATAAGTATATTCTTGTTACACATTACTTAAATCTTTTTCTCCAAAAGGAACTCCCCCATGCATTCAGTCTACACAGAAATGAACAAAGAACATCCATTTGAACAAAAAAGTACTTAAGTTAACTTTTGCACAAATCAATAGCAAAAACATTGGCATTACTGGGAACTGTCTTATACATCCTGTAAAAATATTAATATAGAATAAACTTTTCACTGCCATCATACAGATCATGATTTATACATCTCAACAAATGACATTTCAGGACATGTCTATAGGTGGCAACTGGTTCTACAGATGCAGAGACAAAGGCACAAGAATGTTAAACAATCTGGTCAAGGTCACGTCACTCTGGAAGATCTGGAAAAGGATTTATTGAATCTTAAGTCTGTATCTTAACCTTCCTCCAGAAATGTGAGAGAGTCTAGAAATGTCTGTACCATACAAACTGCAAGTATGTTTTGACAGAATTCCAGTGCTGCACAACTGGTGATCAAACGCACGCATCCGTTTCAGTTCACAATACTTTGTGGAAGAGACAGGAAGTGAGATCCTGAGGAATCTGAAAGGGATGCACAAATCTTCCCCCTGATGGTAGTGTGACATTCCAAAGAGAACATGGAAGAAGAAACACAACTTCACCGAAGCCCAGTGTTTCCCCACACTGTTTTAAGAAACCACTTTAGTGTCTTGATGGTATTCAGCAGGGACTGTGAGTATCCCTACTGAGGTGGGTTGCAGCCTAGAGTGCGTACCAGCTCCTTTGTGACAGTCTGTGCCTTCCAGAAGCCTACTCATCCCATTCCCTGGAATGCAAAGATGATGAATTTGTATTTTTACATTATTTTAACTGCAGAAATAATAAAACACAAACACGGAACCAATTTACAAAGTAAATTAAAGATTACTGCCATTTTGTAATGATTTCAGATGTGTTCAGAGGGTTCAATGGAAATGGTACCCAGAAGAAGCTGGTTCAGAGGAGGAAATGCCTAGTCGGACACAAAGTGCAAACTGAACCCTAAAGAAGCCATTGTGAGAGTTACTGTTAGTACTACAGGTGGGGAAATTCGGGTTGCCACAGTCACCTTTTGAATTCACAACTACACAATGAAAAAATTAAGTTTCTGTTCTTACAGCAATCGGGACATGGAATGTGCGAGACTCCGTAAGTGTGTTAAGATCATTCCCTGAGAGGTAAATTCTCCACCTCTGCCAGTTCTACACATATGTACATTTTGCATACATATTAAACATGCACTAACGTTTAAAATTACTTAAATTGCACGTGCAGTCATTAGAATACAGAGGTGTCTGCAGCTGTGCAAGACTAATGCAAATGTGTACAAAGATTTAAACATGCACAAATAAAGGCTGAAACCTTTCAGACACTCCAGTTATGCTTTACAGAACTCAATACACTTGGGTATTACAGAAAACCAGTGAAGGGAACTGCTGTTTTTCTGGGTATTACACAAAACCACCTTATGATCTTACAACCTCTCAGCTACTCACAAGGAAAAAAAAAAGCCTAATGTCTTTGATGTTTGCTGTTGGAGTTTAAAACACACATAAAACCTTGTTGTTACGGTAATTCAGTCCAAGCAACTTCGGGCCAATGCTGCAAAGGTGCACAGTGCTCTCAGTTGAGACAAAAGGAGTTGAGTTAAAATGCTGCTAGGAATGTGAGAAGTCCTGATCCCCACGAAGAGCAGTAACATTTGTGTGGACTCTAATGGCTATGAAATACCGTGCGTGTGCATGTGCGTGTATTCAGACATACACACACCGAGGCATGTATCCTGCAGCTGGGGGAGCTGTGAGGGTGTGCACAAGGAGAGGGACAGAGTAACTTCCATTGCAAACCAGGCCTCATGGTCACAGTGTGATTAAGGTACACTGTTCCAGTGGTTCAGAGTTACTTTATAAATCATCTCACTTCAGTCAGAAAGGGAACTGAAGCTACATGTTCTGTATGGGCTGCTTGACATCAGCCCCAAGGCAGAGCGTGTGGTTCAGCTACTGGGGCAGTATCAGCATGTGCCTTTTGGTAAGAAGGATATCAGCTCAGATGCTGCACTGACTCCGAGGTGAGCTCTGCAGAACACAACCACTTGAAATTATGGGATATTCTGGTGCATAAAAGACAAAAATGGAAATCACTTCTGTCCCATCTCCTGTGACTGACACCAGGGAATTCATGTCTCCTTGGTTAAGTCTTTGATGGAAAAACCAGTCTGATTCCAAGGCTATTTCTCATAATTCGTAACACTAATGTGCAAGGCTGCATAGGAGATACACTACTGATGAATGCATGTCTTCTTTCAGAGTTACTGAGATGTCACAGGAATATCAAGCATAGCTCGGAATTAATTAAATCTCTTTAAGATACAATAGACAAAAAGATATTTAAAATGTATTCTATATATTTACATTGATGTTGTGGTCAAGTATATACATGAAACGGAGAGAGAACCAACATAATAATGTTGTAAAGTGGAAGTCTGACTGCCCTCAGTGCCTTCACTATACTTAATGACAGTTTCTGAATCCTTGTAATAATGAATGATGAAATGAAAGGGTGGAATGTTGCACAGCAAAATAAGACATTTTGCACTGCAAGTTGAGGCTATACCAGTGAATTCATCTCTTGATAGAACAGCAGACGGAGACAACCCCCCAGAAATACTGAGCAATTTTAATGCCAGGAACACTACTACTGCAGACTTGAAATGATGATATTGTACTTACAATTGTGGGTTGAGTAGTTGGAATATAGGTGGTGGTCTGCGGTACCTGGACCAGTTTTATAGGCTGGTTGCTTGTCACACCTGTTGCTATCTGCAGAGACAGCACAGGCAACCTCAGTAGAAGTCTCAGCTTTTACATAAATTCCACCTAGTTGTTATTATTATTAGAATACGAAATTTATGTGGGATGTTTTTGTTTGTGTTAAAAATTTGCATCTTAATGAATTCACAGGTTATTTCTTTGTTAATAAAACAAAATTCAAATTATGAACATGATCAATGTACACAGCATGATGTTTCAGGTAGAACATCTATGTGAAAGCAATTCCAGATTTGTGTAACTGGAATATTCCCTGGCAAGTGTTTTAAGTAATTTACTTTCTCCCATCCCCTTTTTCCCCAGTAATACAAAGGTTGTGCTGCCACAAACAATGTGTACGAACATTGACTGAGCCAGAGCTTAACTTAACCAAAGCATTCAGGTGGAACAGCACATCCTTTTCCCTCTACAAATCTGTTTCCCAGGTTACTCCCTTAAGATGACATGTCAAGCCCAGAGATCTAACACCAGACAGTAGCAAAAGTGTCAAGAAATGAACACAGCTCTCTAGTTTACTATGCTTCCCAATTCTATAGGACTATCTCAATGAGACATCATGCTGGAATCACAATACTACAAAATTAGTTTGCTTTTAATATTTTAAAATACAACAAGGCTCCTACTGATGTGGGGGATCATGTGTAAGGGTTTGAAGGATCAGCCCCCCCTAAAATTTTTCATTTAATAAACCTTGCAAGGGCAGAAGAAAAACGATGCTGAAATTGCTAATAGTCAAGCCCTACCTATAAAGCAGAATCTTCTCTATAAACATTTTCTATATATGCAATGTTAAGTCCCTTTTATTAGAGCATTTGCTCATCCTTGCCTACTGAATACTATCAGAGTAGATGCTATGGAGGATTTCGTAACTGCTCCGTTAACTGTAGATCCAGGTGAATTGTTGTATCAGTGTTATGGAACATTGTGGTACCCTAGTGGCAGTCTGTTGTGATAAAGTAAGTTGATTTGAATGCAGGTCTTGAGCTTGGCCTCTGAACCCCCAGGCAAGAAGGGCTTGGAAGTGCTGCAGTCAGTATTGCTTATCAGAAGGCAACTTGTATCGAAAGATCCAGACCAGAAGCTACACTGATGGGTCCTGGAGAGAGAGAGAGAAAGAGGTCCAGTCCCCTTTGGCTGGAAGGATGAGTCAAGCCAACACAAGGTTTTATCAGGAATGAGTGAAGGGGAAAGGGTGTTCCCAGAGGACAGAAGGAGATTTTTTTTGCTAAGATGAAGAAAAAAACCCACAAATTCCTATCTCACTCCCCAAATCACACTCTTTGAAATATGCAAAATGGTCATTAATTCCTGGCTGATCCAGGGAAGCCTTTAGGGGTAGGTTTCAGAGAAATCTTACATATTACTTTTGATTGAAGTGACCACAATAATACTCACTGTAACACTCTCTTTGCTTTTATCAGCTGAACCTTCCTTTTCCTTAGGGGTGCTGGCTGTTTCTGTGGGTGCAGGCTGCGCACTTGAACTGGGCTGGGATGATTTATTTAATGTTTCTGTGCTAATTTCAGTATCTGTTTCTTGCTGTGTTGCAGTAGCTAAAATAAAGGAAAAAAAGATTAAGTAGCCACAACTCCTGTGTACCATTCCCAGGCACACTTCACAGGCACATTGCACCCAGGCGAGTGAAGAATGTTGACTCATGATGTATGCCACCCACCCTAACCCCTCGCTGTGGAACAGGCAACCCAGAGCGAGATTACCTGACTGTGTGCAAGATTTCATGTGCTCAGGCCAGTGAGCTTGTTGGCAGGGATAGTCACAGTAGCTAGTATTCCAACAGCAATAAAAAATGGCCTCTTTCTTGCAGTTAGCACACCACTGCTTCTTTTTAGTTTCATCCACTGCTTGCTGCTTTTCTAATTCCAGCTGCTTCTTCACTTCAGCAATCAAACGATCCCGTTCTTGTTCTAGACTCTGACGCATTTCAGCCATTGTCAATTCTACTCAAAATGCAAAGAAAAAGGAAAGAGGAGTTTTGCATTTCCCGCCCCAAGCAGCAGGCAAAAAACAATAATTTTCATGAGTTTAAAGACAAAATGAAATTAAAACTAATGATCAAAATATTCCCTGAGTTTGGGCACCTCTCTTCCATAAAAACAGAGACTCAACAAATGGAAGTCTTCCGTCTTCTTTTCTTACTCCAGCACCACAGGTTTTACCCGTAACTATCACCTTCCATTTGCTTAACACTTTAGTTCTAGATGACCCACAAAGGATCAGAATCCAGGTGTACTGAGTACAGCATAAACCCAAGGAGGACGTATGTAGCTGCTGCTAACATACTTTGCTTTTACAAGCCATGTAGATCGCAGCAGACTTGATCACACAATTGCAACTTTCTTGCCACAATCAGTGTATTAAAAAAGATAATTAAAGATGAATCACATTTTAATTGTGGCTTAGTTTCCTCCCCATATGGTTGAGTGAATGTAGAGATGAAAATACTTCCCCTTTTTAACTGTTTAAAGTAGTATTTTGACTTTATTTCACTGACAGTCTGGCACCGAGATGGAGTCAAGGTTGTCTATTCACTGTAAATAAATAAATGAGTATATACCCCCACAGCTGGTCTGACCCAAAATGTCAGCTACAATCTGTAAAGACATCAGAGGAAGCAGGTTCCCCCAGAGGCTGTATTAACAGAACCTGGTTCATACGAGGATTAGTACAAAATAATCAGCATAAAATACCTCATGAAGAGGGATTATCCAATGCTACATAAAATAAAGTTATTCTGTTCTATTAAGAGCTCTCTTTAGCCTAAATTTGTCTCAGAGGGCTGAACACCTGTTTAATATGCACCTTATCTAAGGTAACTTTGTGAACATACTCAAAAGGTGTCCACTAACATCAGCACAGCACATTATGTGAGGTTTTCTATCCTTTACTGCAACAATTTGTAGTATCATATGATGAAGACAATACCTACTACAAGCATTTGGATTTTCTGTTTAGGACAGAACTTGACACGCGATTTGGGGCTGCCATTTTCATACCTAGATTATGCTTCATTTCTGAGAGTTCCTGTTGATGTAACCATTGAAGTTTTTCTATCTCAATCCTCAAACGTCGGATCTAAATATTAAAATATTAATAGTCAGAAATAATAAACAGGGTGCAGTGTATAATACATAGTTATTATACAGAAAATGCTGGCCCAAGCAAAGAGCCTGATCATCGCTTACATTAAGGCTCTTTCACATTAACATGAGGACAAAACCATACACAGCAAACCCCAAACTAAAGTCTGAAGCAAAATACTTGTTTGCCAGATTTGCTTACCATAAGAAGTACAGGACTGTTCAAAACAAAAAGCACTTGTATTAAACTTGCTCTTGCTTCCTCTGAATTTAGTTGAGTCTCAAATTTCTCTGATTGGAATCAAAAACCTATTCCTCAGTTTTGTTTGCATTTATTAGTATGATATTTCATTTACTGTGTTTCCCTTTTAACTAGATGAGGCTTAGGAAAGCAAGTTTTTCATTCACTGTGGATTAGGAATACAAATATGATTGCTCAGCATTGTGATTTCCTTATTTTGGTTATCACAAGCAAACAAATCATCACACTTTCAACACACTGAAAAGATAGTAAGTTACACCTTTGGAGACAATTAAATGCAATGTATTAACAACTGTACTCATAATCACATAACTGGAATAAACTCCTGAACTAGATGTAAATTCAAATCTTCCTCTGGTGGACATTTAAATAAACAATACTTTCAAAAAACCAATATTTATTTCTGACTTTAGGCAAGGTGACACAAAACCAAATCCCTGACAGAAGCTTTAAGGATCTGGGCTCAATGGTTTCCTGCTTGTCTTATAGAGTCCATTGTTACTTCTGAAACAGCACAGAAATCAGGATCTCTAGACAGTCTCAATATCTAACACTTTGTAGGTATAGTTATACTTTTATATAGAAAAATACTTTCTGCAGCTTTCAAAGTTACAGTACAAGCAATATTTTTTTCAGTCTTACACTAACCTCAGCTATTGTACTTCCAGTAGTATTTTTTGAAAGATCATTATATATTTCCGTCATTGTTCCTTTGATAGCATCCATCATCTGAAAGGCAAAATGAAAAATAAATCCTTTGATATATATGTTTAATAGATACCCACTTTTGCTTCCTTTTTCCCACTCCAATGTGAGCTTATATTGCTATCAACAATGCCCCATATCTCCCTCTCTATTTATCTGGGTCTACTTTTAGAGAAATATTTAGAAGGTGAAACACAACACTTTTGATCAGGACTTTGATCCTTAAGTGTCCTCAACTGGTGAACTGCTTCACCACCTGCTTTTGCAAGAAATTGCCATTGATACAATTTACAAACAGAAAAAGACATAACCATGAGTTTGGGAAAGAAACTCAAAAAATAATAACAAAAGACAGACATTTGCTGACCACTGACAATCCCACCAACACCATAGGGTTGAGTGAGAATACTGAAAGTTGACAGTTAAGATGAATTCTGGTGCTTTTAATGCCTGGGTACTCAACTTTATTTCCTTATACAGCATTCATGTTGATTATTTAAAGATCTGAGAGAGTATATGAAAAGCTAACGTCCCATCCCTCCCTGTCACTATAACGATACAAGTATTACACCACATCTTCTCTCTAACAACATAGCTTCTGTTTTAAGACATGAATACACACTTATGACAAGTTACCATCTGATGAAGTGTTTTAAAACACATTTTTGTATATGTATTACTGGACACAGATGGAGAAGTTAATGTTTACTGTAAAGATGATGCTGAGATGTCTATACCTGTCCAAAACACAATACAATGTAAATAAGCAGTGGGAGAACATGAGAAGGAGAGGGTCTGAAGTGTCTGAGCAGCTGAAGCCTATCATATACACACTCTGGCTTGGAAGGGCAGCATTCAGCCAACTCTGAAAAGATGGTTCAGCACTCTTGTGTCAAAATCTAGCTGTTCCTACCTAGTGGAATGAACTTGCAACATACGACAACCTGAAAATAACATTCTTTCAGAATCTGAAATGTCAAAAATGTGAAAGTTCACTTCAAAATAAAATTTCATGAAAACCTTGCTCAAGAACTTACTTTGCTAGTGTATTTAGCAATATCTGCAGCCACATCAGCTGAAGCTGTTGCAATTGGCAAGTCTGTATTAACTGAGGAAGAAAGTGTACTTGCAGATCCAGAACTGGTAACCATAGAAATAGGTTGAGTACTTGTAACCAAGGTTATAGTGGATGTGGAAGTGCTCTGGGTGATCTCTTTCTGCTGCACAGCTAAGAAAAGAGAACATACAGTGGATAAATCACATAAACAATTTGGAAAATAAATAGGCAAACTTCTAACTTTAATGTGTGCACCTAACCATTTGAAAGACAGTATTTATAGAACGGTGACGTTTAATCCATCAATTCTACAGTGCCCAGCCACTGAACTTGCACAGCATTGTAAACTTAAAGGTAATGAAACAAATACATCTTTGAAACTTATTATTTTAGACTGGCCAATGCAAAAGTCTCCCACAGATCTGTATTCCTCCCATTCTGGGACACTTCCATCCCACTTTCTAGGCATTCACTTCCTAACGTCTCAATATGGAGAACTCCCAACTAACACACATATGAGAAGACGTTATACTTTGACATCTTCATTTGCCATCCTTTAGAAATGTATTATTGAATTTCTTTTCTTTTTCCTTTGAAACAAAGTTTAGTGAACCCCTGTTGAAGAAAGCCTACTTTAGTAATATAATACTTCCTGGTGTTATTCCCATTCTTTTGTTATTAATGGTAGTAATTTTTACTAGTGTTGTAACATATTTAGTATACATATATCCAGATCAACATTAGCCCTTGCTTGGACACAGAGCAAGGAACACCAGCTTAGATTAACCCATTAAAGCAAAGAAGTGATTCATAAATTTAACTCAAACTGGATAAGAAAAATGTTCTCATCTTTGGACAATATTTCAAATAATCTTAAACAATGGGTAATTAAAAATGAAAGTACAAATCAAAATGCAAAGAATGCAAAGACCTTCACCTCTCCATCCCTAATGACTTACCTGCTTTAATATTTAAAAAACAAAAAATACCTTTTTCAGACAATACTTTTTAATCTATTTTTAATGATTCACATTATAAAAGATGTCCTCATTGCCAATATCTTCAAAACAGGAATTACCAAGATAAAGTTATTTAGATTTATATGTATGTGCTATATTTTTGTTTATGCCAATTTGGTATATATGAAATCTATAGATTTTCTATTTTCATTTGATATATTTCTAGAATATAATATTTAAGATGGAACATTGCTATGATGTGCTCAATAGTAAATATATTTATAAAACAAAGTCACAGGCTGAACATTTAAAGTTCAGCCCATATTACCAAGCTTTTATCCTGAAGTATGATTCTATTAAAAAGACAACTTCACAAGTTTCACACTGATTTTTCTCACTGACTATCAAATTTGGGCAGTGTACATGTAGAAAGATAACACCTCTTCAACACTTCTTAAATGACAGTCACAAAAGTGGTTTGGGACCAGAGAAATGTATCTCTGGTAAACATTTGTATGTGACCCATTACCTAAACCTCTGTTCTGTCTGAAAGCACTGGCTTGCCAGCAGTATTAGCCGAGTGAAGAACATTCATCAGGCACACCAGTAAAGAGTTCAGTTGATTAACTTGGAATTACAAATGAAGCTAGATTTACATGAAGTTGCTGTTTTGTGAAGTGAAGCAATAGAAGCATGGGCTTATATTACCAGGTGCCTACTACGAGTGAAACCTCCAGCAACAGGATGGTAAGAAAGTAGTGTGAAAACATTCTAATGTTACTGTTTGCTCAGTAAACTATCATCAAAGTATTGTTAAGAGCTAAGCAACAAGGATTTCAAAGACAAATGTAGCCTGGGTAATTTCACTGTTGTCAAATTATACTCTGGAAAACAGAACAGCTCAGCTTCTTGGCAGATAAAACTGGATCCAGTTTGTAGGTATTGTGGTGATAATGGTAATCATGCGAGTGGAATAGTTAATGGTTCCATCATATAATCCAGAAAATAATTCAGTTCACTTTCCCAAACCTGTGATGGCTAGGAATGGCACAAATATTTATACAGATACACACACAAACTTTTTGTCATTAAAACAAGGAGACACGACTCTAAATACACACCAGAAAGAGCAGGTATGGTGAGTAAGTTGTTGTATTTTAAAGTCACTTATCAGAGTAGAACCACACTTTGAGATTTTGTTTATATGGAAGAATTCCTGGGTGGGCAGCCTTGGAGCACTGAGATCACTACTGGGGAATTACGGCACCACAGGCACATTGAGTTACAAAGTGTATACCTTTAACTGCTTGTCTTGTCTGATATCTTGTCCCTTGAGAGGACTGAGGTTGCTGTGACTGAGACTGCTGGCTCTGCTGCTGCTGTCTCTGCACCTTCTGCATGTGCCATTTCTGAGAAGATGTCTGAAATTTATTTGACGAATTCCACACCACTCGCTGCACAGCAGGGGCTGTTTCCTTCGGCAGCAGAGGCCTCTGCTTTTTCACGGGGCTTCCAGTGGCTGCAGATGGAGCACTAACAGTAGAAGAAGCACTAGTAGTGGCTGTCACACCAGCTGGTGGAGTCTGGGCTGCAGAGCGAGTAAGTACTGGAGTTTCTGGTAGAGGCTGCGTGCTTGCACTGGAGGAAGGTGGAGTTTTACCTACAACTAAACAAACATAAAATGTAATGCCAGCTTTTCACCAACACATCTGATTCATCATTTTCTACCTAATTTTTGCAGGAGCCACCACATACACCTTCTGTCCTACTCTATTTTCCTCAAAAGATAATTGATATTCTACAGGTAAACTCATTTTCCTCAAAAGACAATTGATATTCTAAACTCGTTCTGGTGTAGCTGAAATTGATTTCCTCTTTTAGCAACACATGGAAAAACGGGAGAATATCTCAGGGACAATACATGTGACTTAGCTGTTAGTTTCATTATTACTGAGAGCATTTAAATTGATTTCAAAGGGACCTTAAGCAATTTGTTTGTTTGATAAGTTCCAACTTCTTCTATACCTTCACTTTTGGGATGTCTATGGAAATATAAAGATTCAACTGAAAGTCATAAAAACTCCAAAATAAATTCTACATTTGTCACAGAACAAGTATCACATATATCTATAGTCATATGCTGCTGAAAGGAAACTCAATGAAATGTGTTTTACTTAAAGTAGAAACTATAATGGGGACTGAAAACTTTTTTCATAGTCACAAAGGATGAAAAATCATTCCTAAAAATTGTTTTGGTACAGGTATTTTTATCTTAATGCAAAAATACAGGTAACAATTCTGACCTTGATAACAGCCCTACAGAAGAGAAGAGGAAGGAAAGAATTTCAGCCTACCATCTTGTTTAGGAGGAGTTTCTTTAGAGTCTTTCTTGGTTTTCCTTCCTTCACGGCCACAATGATCATCTCCTAGATCGATGACGAGTTCACTCTCCGAATCAGAGTCCAGTCCTAGATGCACAGTTGGGGAGTCTGTTTCATCTTTACCTTTCAGTTTTTCTTTTGCAGGATGCTGTAAACTTTTCCCCTTTTCAGAAAATTCTTTTTCAGTGTCTGTAATTGCCTTTTCTTTGACCAGGTCATCTGTTTTCTCCACTTCTGGACTTGTGCTTTTAAGTTCCTCCTTGTCTTCATTCTGTGCTGGGGGCTTAGGTTTTTTTTTTAAGCTCAATGATTCTTTGTCACTTCTTGTACCTTCCTTGTCCTCTCCATCTTCTTGGTCATTCTTTGATTTCTGATCCTCATCACTATATTCACTGTCACTGGTGTCGGATTTTTCAGAATCTTCAGAGTCACTGTGTTCTACTGCAGTATAAACAGCTTCAGATATTTCATTTATTCCTAATCGTGGGGAGGAAAGTACATTCCATGCTGACATCAGACTGACTGGCATTACCAAAAAAAATACTCTAGATACTGAAACAAAGTGTATACATACCACTATCTTAACTGCCAGGCCTTAAGCTATAAACACTTCCCTTAGTGCCCTATCTCAGTGCCAGAATGTGTAAGAATTACCTTCCACATATTCCAATCTATATTTATTTCATTCAGTGGCCCTTCTTTCACTGCTTTTTTCTACTAACTGCAACTGTTTTGTTCAGCTCAGGACCCTATGCTGACAAATACAAAGAGGAATTATTTTTATCTACAGAAGCCACCTTAAATTCAGTAACACTTCACCTGCTTAAAGTCACTTACATGCATGTTTGCAGAATCAGTTTTAGACTACGTAAGGGTTATGAGGAGAATCTCAAATTTTTTTGATGTCTAGAACATCTTTAAGTGCTGGACAACACTAATGTTTCTAACAGAATTCAGCTCCTGTGTGACTGGATGTACTAATTGACATAGGTTAGGTACAATTCTTGAATTTTTCAGTTTAGAAAGCAAATAGTAAGACTACGTAATTCTGTCATTCTATCTACATATCAAAATGGTACAAAAAACAGATCAAAAATGAAAGCTTTTTGCCAAAAAGTTGAAACATCAGGTCTCACTGGTTTTCAACAGTTCAGTGCATTCTACTTGCCTCCAAGAGTACAAACATCCTCTACTCTTGTTACAATGCATACAATATTTAAAGTTTTACTATTTGAGAAATTCTTTTGAACACTTACCAAGTTGTGCTTTACAACTCTCTATTGTCTTGTCAAGATTAAGCTGGAACCTACTACGTATCTGTCGCTTGGGTGAAATGAGTTGCACAGGAGTGGTCTGCTGTTGGACTGACTCACTCAGCTCTTTCAGATCCATCTCAGCTTTGCTACGATCTAGAAAAGGGAATTAAGAAAAATATTTTACCAAAAGAAGAGAGATCCAGATTTACCAAGTAACAACGCAGATGGTCTGAAACACATTCACTTCCTTTGGAATTATATGCTAGATAGTAATTCTAAACTGACTTTACAACAATGGATTCTTCCTCTCTGATACTACGTATTTCACATGCAAAGTGCATGTACCAATTATGTGGATATTTTCTCCGTCAATGCTTTTGGAAAATGTGTTCCTTGTACTGCAAATGTCTGCTACATTAGGTTTTATCTTCCTGGGCTATGTCACCCCACCCAATCCACACTAATTCCACAGCAGTAATGGTTATATCACCCTTGGTACAGCATTTGATTCAAGGCCTTCATAGCCTTAGTTTACTCCATGGCAGGATATAAACAGAAGAAAAAAAATGGAGAATGGAGGAAGATGAAGACAAGACACTGTAATGCCTCCCGAGGGAAACCTACATACTCATACGTATGAAAGAATTCCTGCAATCCAAATTTCTCTATCTAGCCCATATGGAGGACTCACTGATCTGGATTTTCAGCCTGTCTCATGAATGACAAAGTATTAGTAAAAAGAAAACAGAGCCAAAGGACAGACAAGCCCATTGTGGAGAAATTTCAAGTTCTCATCTCCAAAGTCCTTATTTTAAAGCCCTTTGTTTATTTAAAGCCATATACAAGCAAGTTTGTTCATATTACGTTGCACTGACACTATGCAATTTATTCATTTATAAGTTATTAGGTTTTCAAAGGCCAAGACTAACCAAGATTCAGATTCAGAATGCTTCCTGGAGTGGAAGTTCTTTCTTGCTTAGAAGAAATTGGCGTTGATGCTTGAGGAGAGAAAGGTTTGGGGCTGCCTGACAAGCTCCCTGCCTGACCCGTTCTTGTTGGTGCTGGAGAAGCTGGAAAAAGTATAAAATTAATAAAAACAGATTTTAAAATAATCACAACAAAGCCATATTCACTGGGATAAAGCAGCTTTTAAACCTACACAAGCAGGGAAAGGATTCTTGTTTAATAATCTCAACACCGCGTTACACCTCCACGTAATTTAAAACAACCCCTTTTATTTTAGTTTAATAAAGAAAGATCGTAAAGAAAATTATTTTATTTCAGCTATATAACTGAGCCAAATGTGTGTTTAGCATCAAAACCACTCTGCAGTGACAGCACGCTTCTACTTTTCAAGATTTGGTTATTTTGAATGTTAACAAACTCTGATGCTCTAAATTGCTATCTATCTTAACTCGTGTATGCAAGTAAACACAGAAACCCCGACGTACCCCATTTTCTAGCTATGTTAACAGTGATAATTAATATTAATATTACAAATCATTGTAAGTTTAATCAGTGGGAAGTCACTGACCAAACGTCTCTGATAAGGTAAAAGAATATTCTAGTTCAAGCAAAATCCTGTGCTCTGAACCTTTAAGATCTCTATGAAATACTGTTTTAAAACCAAACTTCTGGAAACTGCCAAACGGTCTAGAAAGGGAAGCATCTGCAGGCCATTACCTAAAAACATGACTAATTCTTGTCAGCAGGGGGCTAATTTCTGTCTGTTAAATCTCTACTTAACACTCTGTATTAAACTCAGTAGCGGTCACTTTTTCTTCCTTGGTACATCCAGGATTGTCTGTATATTTTCAGCTTCCTAAATGGTAGCAATATTTGCTGTTTCAATAACTGTTTCCAAGTTATTTTCTCCACATCACTCAAAATACACAACAGGGGTATCCAAATAAAAATGTTCTTGTCTAAGGGTAGTGCAGTCATATTACTTGAATTATTTTTTACATTTTAATTGAAACACACATATTCCAGTAATAGGACAGCTAAGTTTATACATAAAGTAGATATTGCAAAGTTAGCATTTGTAACAATATATAAAGGTAGAAATGCCAGCTAGGAAACTGAGTGTTCTAGTTTAAGTGCTGTTAAGTCCAATCCAACATTGACTGAGATAAAGGGGAGTAAGGCCTGAGGAAAAGTTAGAAAAATTTGTGAGAATTGCTGCTAATGAAGAATGCAGAGTAATGGGGTAACAGTTGTCATCTTCTTTATCTTTATCTCACAAAATAGTTTTCACAATTACCTCCACTACAACAAAGAAATAATAATGTGGTGTAATAAAAGCTCTGTATTTTAAGATACAAAACAGTATCTGCCAGCTGCACCTTACATATAAAAGCTGTACACACCTATATACATAATAATTTAAGTATAAAATTAATTCTTCCTCTTGACATGTTACTCTACTGAAAAATCCAAGTGTTTTCATATTTTTAAATTCATACAGTCACTTTGTCATCACTTTCTTAAGATGGACAGGATCATACCACAACACACTTTTGTACTCAAATGTAGTTTCATGAAACTGCAATGGAACATATTGATTTAGTTTTCTGCACAAAGACATCCTTTCACCAAACCCAGAGTTTTAAAGCACTCACACGAATATACTGCATCACTGTCTTCAGATAGCAATGAACTTTCTCTTATGGATGAAAAACATTAAGATAAAGTAGTTTGCCTGAGAGCCACAAAATTAGCTAAGATTTGACTACATGGAAGTCTGAGAAGTCCAAATTCTGTATTCTATGCTCCTTTTTCTCTTTATCCACTCTGCCTATGGAACTGTAAGTTTAAAATATTTTACCTACTCTCTTGGGAACAATATAAATTAAGCTTATTGCCCTGAAAAAGAGCTATGAAATCTTAAACAGAATACCTCCTAATCATGACAATTCTAAATCTTTCTGTATGTACTTCTACTCTCTATTCATTCTGATAGTTACAACTATTTCCTGCTGTTTAAACTGAAAGGTTTTGGTCACTTTTTGGGATGATTTATTCCTTCTTCAATGTGACTGTTATTTCTTATCTGTGATACTGAAAGTTAAATACATCTCTTTTCCTAAAATTTCTGCATAAAAACGGTCATAATACAGTCTGTCTATGAAAAGTTCGTGGAATAAGACTAGAGCATGAATCTAATGCAAAGCCCTGTGTCCCCCCTTTACTCCCCCCACCCCCTTTTTTTTTACCTGTATTTTTCTCAATAAAGTCCATGGATTCTTCACTGGCACTAAAATGACTGGAAGTTGCTTTTTTCTCTGCATCCTGTTCAACATCAGATCCAGTGTGAACTGAGGAGTTTGTACTCATTGGTGACCGTGGCATATCCGTCAGCGAAATCCTACGACCAGTACTACTGCTCAGCATAGACTTGCTCATTAGAATCTTGGGCGATGCTGTCATATCAAAGTTCAGTTTGATTTTCTCTTGTTTGTCTGTCTTTGCAGTTCCAGCAGTTGGGTTTGCAGGGTCCAGTAACATTTGGTATTGATTGTTGGGGGTATATGGTGTCCGGAAAGGTGCGTAATTAAATACTCCAAATTTTCTACGAATGTTATCAACATAAACCTCCATTTCTTGCATTGCACTATTGAAGATGCTTTTCGTCTTTTTCACAGAAAAAGGAATTTCTTTAGACATGAGGTAGCAATTATTTATTGGAACCCAGGCCCTAGATATAAAACAGACAGATAAAAGATAATATAACTACATTTCACACTGTGGATTGACATTGGCAACTTTTGTGCACATACTAATTTATTGTAGCCTAATCATAAAGATATGCACATAGATAATTTCAAAGGACCACCTCTACCTTCTTCTTTTAATAGTTCAGTTAGCTCAGTTTTGGTAAGTGAATTGCATATCTTAGATTATCACTAGCTTATTTACTCTACCTAGTAACACATAAAACATCAATAAACACTAAAACATGACAAAATATTCCTAATGAAAATAGTCTACATAACTGTAAGATGATCATTGCTAAACAGTCTTACCATCTGTCACAGTTAGCAGAAAAACATTAAAAGCATGTCAGGAAGAAAAAGACTTCACAAGCACATTCTTTAAAACATTTTATACCCCATGTCAGATTGATCCAACTCCTCGGTGCCCAGAAAAGTTCTATCAACAAGTACTGGACAGATATTATTTATCATTAAATGGAACAAACTCTAAAACTGTGCTTTCCAAGACTCTAAAATACCAGGAAATTTTACTTACTTATTTCATGGCCCTATACAGTTGGTATATTTACAGTACCTGTTTTTATAACTGTATAGATATATATTTTCAATTCATGACAAATCAACTCGTATTCATCATGGCTTTCTCCATCTAAGCAGAGTTCACAAGTACAGAAAACTTAACTCCTGTCAGAGCAAAACTGGCATTTTCAACACAGATTATATTTTCTATAGTTTTTAAATCTACAATTGTGTGTTTATTCCCATAGTATTTTGACAACAAACAACTTGATCGCCCTTTTCCACCTCTAAGAACTACAGTTCTCTGCAAAACAAAACCAGATACAGGAATTAACTTACCTACTCACTGAGATTATATATGTATTGAACTTAAAAATGCGTGACTTGCATCCTACAGACATCATGTAAGAAACTAAAACGGAATATGCTACAGTAGTATATCACTTATTAGCATCAAAGTTCAGAAGACAAGGTCCAAGACCACAAAGTTACAACAAGAATTTTGTAAGTACAGCCAAAGACATCATTTGGTTGAATTCCCACCTGTCGTGTTGGCCAAAGAAACGGGCATCAACTTGCCCATCTTTATCCCTCAGTGCTTTAGCAGGCCAGAATGGAAAGCCTTTGAGTTTAGCCCAGACCAATGGGTGGGGATTGCTCTAGAGGAAGAGGCAAAATACACAGTAATAATATAAAAGGATCTCAATTAAACACATCATAATTTCACTTTTTTATTAATCGTTTATCAGTCCCCTCCAAACATGCAGCCTAAGTTAGGGCAAATCTTGCAAATTCTCTAATTTTCACTTGGGCTCAAGAGAGAATATGATCTGTTATATAGTTCTACCTAAGAGTCTTAAGGAGTTTTCCCAAGTTTGGTGCAATATTAAACAAAACCAGACAATTTATTAATAGATCATGAATGAAAAATCAAGTGTAAACTCTGAGAGTCACACCTGCAAGAAGAGAGACATTCACATTTCGGAAATCTAACCGTGAGTGCAAGCACCACATGCAAGCACAGATAACCTAGGAGCAGATATCTTACATTTGAAGACAGAGAACGTGCAAACTGGTTGCTCACACCTTGGGATAGTCTGACTCCAGAAAGAGCACGACTTGCAAGCACAAGCTATTTGGTAAACTACAGCAACTTTCCTTGACTCAGTAACCACCACAGGTTTAAAAAAATGGGTGTGTAGATAACACGTAACAGTCAAATGAGAACTACTAGGTTAGTGTATTAGCTAGACTGCCATAATCCTTAACTTACACAAGGCTCACAAAACCAATTTTCTCGTTTTTGGCAAGCAGCTAAATAACATTCCGGACATACTTCAATTTCATTCATCTGAAAAGAAAAAGCAAACAGTTATCGGAGAGCTTAAACAGAGCCCATAGTGTTATCAGTATTATTATGTTAGCCTGTCTAGTTTGCTTGCTAGCATCATTTTCCCACCAATTTGTGGTCATAAATTGACATTTCCCAGGTGGCCAAGAAGAATCAACGTTTCCAAGAAGGCCAAGAGCATCCTGGCCTGTATTAGAAACAGTGTGGCCAGCAGGACCAGGGCAGTGATCATCCCCTGTACTCGGAACTAGTGAGCCTGCACCTCAAATCCTGTGTTCAGTTCTGGGCACCTCACAAGAGAGACACTGAGGTGCTGGAGCATGCCCAAATAAGAGCAACGAAGTGGGTGAAGGGCCTGGAGGATGTGCGTATCTAAACAGAAGAAAGCCTACAGAAATTATAGTTATGTAACACACACATTAGAAAACACTATTATTTCACTCACAAATACATGAAACACTTTAAAAGCTACATAATAATTAACTGGGGCACTCATACCTCATGCTCACAGATTTTGATGATGACTTTTGCTGTTTGTGTCAATTTGTGATTTCCTGGGGAAACAATAAAATGCTTTAACCAAGAAAATCGTAATGCTAGAATTATGATAAAATCAACAAGTTTCAGACCTAAAAGTTAACATTAAAGAGAACATCTAAAGAGACGATGTTAAACAGGTATATATAAACTACCTGCTTCAAAAGCAGAAGGAGGGCACTTTTCTTCTCCATGTAACATCATAATAATGCTTGAATGTTCCTCTTGCAGCCTGCCCACCATTGCTACAC